GCAGGGGGCCGGCAGGCAACACAACTCTTTAACACCACACATCACAATCGGTCTCCCAAGGCACACAAAGGTGCTACAATTTAACTGTAACGGACTCCAAAGCAAGATCGAGAAGATAACTGTCTTTATGGGAATGCATGGAATATTAATAGCTGCGGTCCAAGAGACGAAGTTGCACGGCAATTCAACCCTGTTGAATTGCGCCGGATACAACGCGCACCGTCGAGATCACGAGCGAGATAATGGTGGAGGCTTAGCGTTCATCACGCACCACACCGTGCAGTATCGTCTCATTGAAACAGACATCGACCGCAGGGATCCTAGAATGTCAGGGTATTGCTATCCGGTCAGGCGATGTTGAGCTCGAAATGTTTAACGTTTACATACCCCCTGTCACCAGCTGCCCGGCAGGATATCACCCTGAAATAGGTGCGTTACTCAGAGGTGAAAACCGTATGGTAGTTGGTGACTTTAACGCGCACCACGATCTTTGGCACTGAAGCCTGTCAAATGATCGTAGGGGAATACATCTGGCTGAGCAGATAGACGATTCGACATTCTGCACAATGAATGACCCCACGTCGTACGTGGCCCCCTGTTGCTCAAACAGAGCAGCCTCCACGGCTAACCATAGTCCGCCCGAGCAGCCCCACACACTCACACAACAGCCACACACAGTCACCACAACACAACAACATAATAACACCACAGACCGTACCACAGCCACTACAGACCACATACCACACACAACCGCACCACCACCCACACGCCGCCGCCAACAACTCCTGGTTCCCCCTACAATCTGCACGGTATGTCAGACCAGGATATTCCGTAATGTGACATCAGTCAAGTGCAACACCTGCCTTGGCTGGTGCCACTTTAGGGCATGCTCAGGTCTGCGTACCACGCGAGATTGGACGGGGAACTTCGAGGGCCCGTGTTGCGCTGCTCGGTCGCAGACTCCAATTGCGACGCCCCCCACCACCACCACAGGGCGGCAATCACCTCAGCAGCACACACAGCCAACGGCGGCAAGAACATACACTTCACTAACACCCCACATCACGACACGTCTCCCGAACCACATGAAGCTCCTTCAATTTAACTGCAACGGGCTACAGAGCAAGATTGAGGAGATAACCGTCTTCATGTGTCGGCATGGTATATTAATAGCTGCGGTCCAAGAGACGAAGTTGCACAGCAATTCAACTTTGTTGAATTGCGCCGGGTACAACGTGCACCGTCGAGATCGCGAGCGAGATAATGGTGGTGGCTTAGCGTTCATCACGCACCACACCGTGCAGTATCGTCTTATCGAAGCAGACATCGACCGCAGGGATACCACCCTAGAATGTCAGCGCATAGCTATCCGGTCAGGCGATGTCGAGCTCCAAATATTTAACATATACATACCCCCTGTCAACTGCTGCCCGGCAGGATATCACCCTGATATAGGTGCGCTCCTCAGAGGTGAAAACCGTATGGTAGTAGGTGACTTTAATGCGCACCACGATCTTTGGCACTCAAGCCTGTCAAACGATCGTAGGGGAACAGACTTGGCTGAGCAGATAGACGATTCGACATTCTGCACAATGAACGACGACGCACCCACCAGGATTATGGGTAACTGCAGTATCTCGCCAGACATCACAATAGTCAGCGCTGGTCTGATAAACAGCATAACGTGGCGACCTATGCTGACTCTAGCATCAGACCATCTACCCATAGTCATCTCGATTGATAAACCAACCGACTTTGCCTCCGCCAAACACCGGACCTATATCAACTTTTC